ATAGATAGATAGATAGATAGATAGATAGATAGATAGATAGATAGATATTTGTGCACAACTCATAAGGAACCACTTGGGGGCAGTCTAATAACTTCTACCTTTTCTTATTCAACCGTGTAGCGTAAATTGTTTGTATCACCTGGTGTAATTCTGTGTGTGTGCCTTTTTATACTTTTGTGAGAGTGTGAATATGAATCTAAAATGTAATTTACTAATTATGTAAATACCGGTGAATTGTAAGTTCTACAAAAGGATGCTAGAATCTCTCATAAGCTTCAACACGTGTGAACATTTAAGTGCCAGTGTGTAGATTCATGAGTGTGCCTACATACGTGAGAGCAGCGTGGGGGTTCAGGGGTATGGATTATTTCACTCTGGGTCTTTTTCAGAATGGTCAATCAAGCATGAGACAGAGAGGAGAAAGAGGCTATTGTTACTGCCTTAAAAAATAGATTCACTCTCAGGGGCTTAACTGAAACATCCTTGCAACAACTGCCTGACCTTTTCAACTATTTGGCCGTAATTGAACCCTTTTATGATGTGGTGAATAAATGTATCAGTTCACAGGATCAGGAATTTGTATGATTTATGCTAATTAGTGTTGCAAAGCCTTAACTAGAAGGGAACTCTTCAAGGAGAATACATTCGTTTGAGACAAGTGTCAGTTTGACCAAACCACTAACTTCAGGAAAACACCAAGAGAGTCTTTTATCTTTCATTTTCTTCATATTTTGCACCAAAATTGCAGTTTACCTCAAGATAACACACATTGCATCCACTCAATTGCATTATCATATGGGTGAAAACAAAACATTTTTTTCCATTCTCCCTGTCCAGGTTTATGTCATTATCATCTTCTTTCTTTGTAGGGAGTTTCCACCCAGGCATGTTTTTTCTTCAAAGAATGTTTCCAGACTCAAGCCATGACTACTCAAGACAGGAGAAATTCTTCAAGTAGCTGTTTTAAATTTGTGATTTAAACTCAAACTGCAAATGGGAAAAAGCTGACTCAAAGAAATGGAGTTCTGGGCTGGTGGCTGGTGTCTGTCTCAGTCCTGGGGACCCTCAGAGACCAGGGGCTTGCCTGCTGAGCTATTTCTGGACTATCCTGGGCACGTGTGGGCCACTCTCTGTCTGGTGTTGGGTGGGGGTTGTTGTTGATCCTTAAAACATGAAGTTATAGATACATTTTGTCAACAGTTATTTCCTTGTGGGAAGTAACGGGCATTAGCATGTAGCTGATTGGGGTAAATTTAATGAGGGATGTGGGCTGAGGATTATCATTTTCCATGATAAAAGGTTTATGGATGCGTGAAGCGGAGGAAGTAATAAGACATTAAAATACAGATATATTAGTAATTAGGTCAGATGAGGGAAGTTTAAAAGGTGACACCAAAATATTTTACTAATGGAAAAATACAGCTTTTATGAGATAATATTTAACAGAATATATATATATAAAAGTCATGTGTTTTTATCTAAGTTGTCAGCAGTTTGGCAGAGATGTGATTTGCTCTGGAAAAGCTCATTAGCCAAATCTATCCAAATCAGACTCTTCATTTTGAGATTATGTTAATGCTTAGGAGAGCTCCACCCATATCCCTCGTATCTGGATCAGTTTCCTTGAGACGTTGCCTTTTTCTGGTAAATGGGTGGGATTCCGGATTCCGTCCCTCCAGGGGAGCACAAGTACATGAATAGCTAATGTTCCAATCAGATCTCCCCTTCTTTCATTTTATGCCAGAGAATTTCCTCACCACTGTCAGAGAAATAACAATGTAAATTCTCTCGTGTCTCTGTCTCTGAAACCAGATTCTTACTAAATAGTGTGTGAGGGAACTTTAAATATTTACCCTAAGAACAGACCCTGCTTGTGGAAAATGTGTGATTCGCAGAATTTCTCTTTTTGGCAGATGCTAAAAGAAAGTGAAGTGACTCATTTTACTGGTATGGCACGGGTTGTGTTCCTTGGATGCTTCACTGTGAATATACCGAATTAAACTATCTTTCATTATGTGACCCGATCGGTCGACCGTGCCAGAGAAAATCAGAGCAAGGAGCACTGATCCTAATCAAAGACCATGGAGGATAGGCAGGAGTATATTCACCCAACTGGAGATCGGAATGCATCACGTTGACCTTCTCATGACTCGTGCCCATTATGAATGTCTAATGTGTCCAGAGTGTCTGTCGAGTGAACCGTTTGGGCCTGCCCATGATAAGCGATACATCTGACATTGATCTGCTCACCAACCCAGAGCGCTCCATTGTTGGATCCCTGCTGCACCTGATGTGAGCTGCTTGCCAGAACCGCACTCCCTTAACAGAGCTTTAATTGTTTTATATTCCTTCCACATTCTTGGGCTTGTAGGTTCACCTTAGTATAAACTCACCGTCATTTGCACACACATACACATACACACACAGGGCCGTGTATTATGGGAAGGCTCATCAAATATAATTCTTTCTAAAAAAGCGCTCCATTTGGCTTGTAGTAATAACAAATAAAAGAGCATGGGAAAGCAGCTTTTATAGAAACTGGCAGTTCAAAAGTGAAACCGCATATCGTTTGACAATTGAAGGCAAGAAGACATCGGAGGCCATACTTTTGTAATTCATGGACTACAATGTACGCGTCTATAAAACTTTGGAGACTGTGGGTTGTGCTCACAATAAATGCTCCATGTTGTCATCGGCTGCAGGAATCAATCTGCTGAATGTTCATGAGTAATAAAAAAACAGGCATTTTTCATATTCTTTCCTGTGACCCTGCTTATTTTCCTTTTTAACTACTTTTGGCATCTCAATCTGCATGTTGGTAACCACGGGATGAGGAAAAAGATTAAGTTACCATAAAATATTTGTTCTTACCACACAAGAAAATCAAAACCCCTGTTCTCAACTATGTAACTAAACAAAACCCTGATGGTTTATTCTGATAAATGATTGGGTATGATAAGAAATGTCATGTTTTTATTTTTTTTTAACTTTTGGATACATTGTGCTGTCTCTGCCAGGACCTCATTTACTTAATTCAGGCTGGGAAACGGGTTTCAGGCACTGGGGAAATCTGGTGTGCCGCTGCTCCTCTCACAGCTAATTAGTGTGTGAACTAATTGCACAGCTAACTTTAGCATGGCGGCAGCCTAGTTCCATCTGTCAGCTATCTAAAAAGTAGAGAGGCGAAAGGACATACAGCCTACCAGTGCAGCTCCTTTTACAATTTTCCAGCAAGGACGTTTATCTGCAATCCCCGCAAGCAGCCCAGTTTGATGATAACGCACTGGAAGACACTGTGAGCTTTCGTTATTTGGCCACACTGGTGGCTCTGGTTTACTGAGACTCAAGATCAGATTTCCAAACACAGTTATGTGTCTTGGAATACACTCTGAACACAAAATCCTCTGAAGCAATATTTGTTCTCAGCTCTCCGATATATTAAAAGACAATACAGCACTCGAGTATGACTGTTTCCAAAACTTTTTGCAGATAGTTTCTGCCATTCCTTTTTCCTCCAATGTCAGAAAAACAATAAATGAGACAGAATTATTTAAAGCCCATTGCCAAATAATTTGTAACGCATGCATATATTCCATCATGTACACATATACAAAAAATTTAAGCAGCACCGATCATACAAAAAAGAGACTTTGCTGATAAGACGTAGAACTTTGATCATGAAAGCTTTGAAAAGACATCCACTTTAAAATGACTATAATGGTGTACACTGCTCTCTTTGTGGAATATGAAACCAAAGTTTGTCTGAGGTGAGCCAGAGGCTCTTGAGATATGTTGACCTGGACGTCAGATGTTCATTCTCAAAAGTTTGAGACTGATGAAGAAAACAGATTTACTGGGAGCGCTCTCCTGCTCCCGGACATTCTTCTTCCTGCTGCTCAGAGATCCCCGACAGCCCGGGTCTGTGCATGTGTGTTAAGGTTAAGTGGGTGGATGGAGGTGAAGTCTTTTGACTTATGTGCATCACACCAACATTGAAGAGATGACAGGAAAGAGAAGGATGGAGAAAGATTGTGAGGAAAAGTCAAGGTTTGCTGAGAGCAATGAATCCAAGCAACATGTCATGCGTTTAGCAGCTGTAACAAATATCTGTGGGAAAGAAAAACTTCTTACTTATATGCTCAAGCTAACATGGTAAAGAATTTCTAAAAATGGTATCCAGCTTAATGAGGTCCATTTTATGTGATAAAATAAACAATTTCGGAGATAGAAATCAGAAATCAGTGTCTTTTTTAGCTTTTAACAGATCTCAAAAATATATATTTTAAGCTAAGAGATTACATGCTTCAGTAGTCTTTTGTGACGGCAATTTGTTTTACACTGGGCACACATGGACACAGGCATCCACAGTCTTTTCATCAATGATGTTCCAGAACTGGTTACACAACACATGTGGCCAATGTGATTCAGATTTTAAAACGGAAACTACTTTCTCACAAATAAGAACAGCATTCTAAAGCTTGCTTTGGACACTATCTGATCCATCTTTAGATATGTACCGTGACACTCTTGTTATCACAAGGTGCATTCGTTATGCTGGCACCTCTGAAGCACTTTGCTTAGGGCACAGTCTCGCTATTCTCAGCAGTTAGTGCGCAACAAAGAATAGAGTTGTTAATCGGTGAACTGAGTAGAAAAATAAAGCTGAGAATGAGGGTTTCCTGAGGGTTTTGTTAGAGCCTGAATGTGGTGATGACAGACCCACAGTAGTTTCTTCCTGTGCTGATTAGATAGTCTCTCTTTTGACTTTCTGTCCTGACTGTGACTATATATGGGGCTGAAGCTGTGTCCATACATCTGGGAGATGGAGAAATAACTTTTGGGAGAATTAGCTGTCAAATCTCAACCCATCAAAGTTACTTTTAGGGAAATCTGTTCTGTGTGTTGTTACTGCATTTTACAGGCCTCTCTTTTTGCATCTGTCTCCAGTGTGTCTAAACGATCACTTAAAATGAAGGCAATTTGATATATTAGTAGTGATTGTAAAAATCAGCACACCATATCACAATTATGTAATCACACAAAATTACATTGACAGAGTAGAAAAGTAAACATTTGATGAAAGCATAATTTGCTTCGGGGCACAACAATCAGGTGAAAAGAGATTGTGACAGTGTGAATGCAGAATGCGTCTTTATCTGTAATAAGTTTATCTGGTTCTGATTTGGACCAAAATAAAGTGAGAACAGTTTTTTGTTAGAAATGTGCCATTTTAATAATACACTGTCAAATATAGTAAAAGAATACATTTAAGGCTGAAAATTTGGTCAAATTACATGCATTAAAACTGGTAGCACTTTATTACCTGGAAACCTTTAACACTGATGTCCTATAAAAACTAATATTTTTATATTGCTAACAACAACTTTTTTTCTGAAGCCTGTCAGTATTTCTTGTATATTCAACATCCCACTTGTGTGTGCAAAGCACAAAAGTTCCCACTGTTTTACCACCACATTAACATCTCTAATTTGGGTGCCACATGGGTCGTCATCAGAGATGGCATTACACACCCTCTTCGGCATTTCCTGTGGCGTTTCCTGCTTTCTTCGTGGGTTCATGTGCTAATATCCATTAAGCCTGACAAACTCTACAACTCTTTCTGTCCCTTGCAGCACAAAGGCTTTCTCTCTCTCTCACAGTTGTCAGTCTGGATTGAAAGCAGTGCCTGTCGGACTCCCAATTTTTCACAGCTGATGGTAGAGATAAGCTTTCCCTCGTGTGTGAAAATCTACTTGCAACCGTGACTTGTACCTGCATGCGTAGAGCTTGACCTGCCATCCAAACTGCTCAGGAATAGTAAAATAAAAGCTGTCCTAAGGGGGTGTTTAACATTTCCCAAGCCAGTAATAATCAATAGTAAGTGTGAAGGTAATGTGTGTTTAAACATCCAATCTGTTTTCTGGCATGGTTGTGTCTGCATTCTGTCTACATTCTTGATGAAAAGTTTTTCAAAACCCACACAGCACGCATGTGTCATCAAACATTACGAGCATGCAGCGACTCAATCAAACCCATAACCGGCTCTGTCGTGACTGCCCTCATCTGTCTTTCAGTTACAGCCTTTGTCTGTGGCAGAACCAAAACCCATACCCTATTTTTGGTGTCTCATCTGTCATATTGGCCTTTGACACCGTAAACACCAGACATCATTTATCTCCAGTTGCATGACTCAGATGGACAGCAGTCCCCACCACGTCCCCTCGGAAGTCCACCACAGACGCGTTTTCCCTCGACCGCATCACCATCTCCGTCCCACTCGAGTTAAAACTCTAAAATTGTGCAAACATTTGGGGAAAAAAACAGAATAAATTTAGATGTGTCTTCTCCATCTGTCATTTTTAAAAGACCTGTCACTTGTGTGCATTTGTTTCCAGTGTACTCTGTCATCATTTGTATCTACATGTATGTTTACAACCATTGCCCCAGATGTTTATCCTGATGTGTGTCACTGCCCGTCAGCCCAGTTTTTTTTCAGGAAGATTTGTTATTGTTCAATTCAAATAGAGGTGTGCAATGTATTTTCATTTAAATGATAAAAATATGAGTCAATCTAAATGTGAGCAACACATTTCCATGTAATTGAGCTGGTAAAATGACCAGTTGAGAATTTTGGTGGATAAGATTAATCAATGTTTGTTTCCCACATTCAAACACCCACATTGCAGATATAATCTGCTGGGAGGGACATTTACAAAATACATCAGTGGAACATTGTATTAGCAACATATCTATAAATAATCCTGACTTTTTCCTCCACTGAGGGGAGAGCCACAGCAAGTAATCATTTGCAAGTATTATTATCTTTTTCTTTTAAAGTTCCTCAAAAATGCAGCATATAAATAGATGGGGATGAAAATGATGTGAAAGCAGAAAAGAACAAAACAACTACTGCATGCACGCAATCAGGCAGTGTTAAATGCAGGAAACCTTTATCTGCAGGACAGGAAGTCATTTTGTGTGTCCCACAGTCGAAGTCATCTGAGATAAATGCCTGTTTGGAGCAGCATATCATTTCCTTGTTCTGGAGTATCACATGATACAACCACACTCTCTTCAGAAAGGAAAAAAAATCATCAAATCTTATGGATGTAATAAAAACATCTTGCAGTGAATACTCGTCACCCAGCACTTTTCAGGCTGCCCTCCGTTAAGCTCAGGAAGTTATGGACTTCTTCACTATACGACTTCCTCGTAAGTGAAAATGGCTGGGCATGCCTTCACCTGTGCTGAGCGAAAACAGTTATTAGACGACTATAATTTTTCTCTTGAAAATCAGACACTGACATTTGGAGAGGACAGCAACATCAATAAACAGCTTTGCTGCTTGTCTGTTGAGCGGCTACCTGAGGGGAAATCCTTATCTCTCTCCGGATTTGTGTGGTTTCGGTTGACAATGAAGTCATCTTGCTGTGAGAAAGGTGAGAATATAGTGAGAGGATAGGCTCTGAGGTTAACCCTATCCCCTGTGGGATTATTATGCAAGTCGTGAGCTCATCAGCACAGAAAGTATTGCTCACCAGTCGATACAGAGGGGGAGAGACCCTTAAAGCAAGATGTGAAAGGATTATTTTTGATAACAAAAGAATCATGGTCTTGCAAACAGTTTCCCAACGAATCACGAGCTTCAGACTCATATTCAAGTTATAAAATCCTTTCTTATGGAAATTAGATCAAAATAATTAATTAAATCAGCAAGTTTGTTAAAAAAGATAATAATTAGAAGTAGCTTCATCCCGGTGGGTGCCTCATTATGGCCCTATATCCTTTTAACCCTAGTGACCCTTACTAGCCCTTCTCTCTGTGCACCAATAAAATACAATGAACACCGAAGAAAGAGCACTATTTGGTTTTTTAGTTACCTTTAAATCTTCTATGGAGGTTACAGGGATGAATCATTGTTAAACATCAGAGTGAGAAAAAAACGAGTTGTGCGAGGAGCTGAATGACATTTAAAGCAATGACTATGCAGGCACACATTTTGATATTTACTGGCACTGAACTTACTTTCTTGTGGGTTATTATACAAAAGAAGCTGAGTGAGCACACTTTTTTACAGATTAAAAGAGCTCTCACATTTCAGCAGGCCTTCTGTTGGCTTCCAAAACCACCGAGCAGAGTTTTTCATCGAAAGAGGACAGACATTCATTTGAGATTGACTTAACAATAAAACTAAAAAGAAAACAAAAAGACTGCAAGTTAATTTGCTTTAGGATTATCAAGGCCCTTGAACTATTTTTATGCTACCTGGACAGAATTGAAAACATATTGAGATCTGACATATTTGGGGAACTGGAAAGCATCAGTGATACACTCCTAATTTGAAAAAAGCTAGTCTCCTTAATCTACTATCTTGTTTTTGAACATGGATAATAATCAGCACTGGTCTCCTACAAGCTAAAACCTGGCACTGCTATTGAAGTAGAAGAATGTGACTTTGGGGACTTTTCAGTTCCAGGCTGGTCCATGAGAGAAGGTCTAGAGTTGATCACACAGGTGTATCTTATAATTATATCCTGTGATTTTGATGATGGACGGGGAAGAACGAGAAAAACTGGTTAGGATGTTTTAAAATGAACACAGCATCTAACAACACGGACGCAACATTGTGGAAACTTGTGCAAAACAAAACAAAAAAGCGTGGTTGTGACGCGTTGCTGTTGTACACTTAATGCCCAAAGCTTGTTTGTTTGTTTGTTTGTTTGTTTATTTGGCTTAATGAGCAATGACTGCGTTTTGGAATGCAGATAAGGAACTGTGGAAGAGTTGTGAAAGCAGAGGTGTGGAATATAATCTGTAATCAGGTGAGTTACACCACGCAGTGGACATGCGTAACGTCCATATATTTACCAAGCAAAGCAGCAGCGTATTGTTTTGACGGCTTCTAAGTGGCTCCTGAGAACCTTCGGACACTCTCCATGAAGAACGACCTGCCTGTGGCCGTCCGGGAGAGGCGAAGATACGGCCATGAGTTCTCTCCAAAGACATCTGCAAGGAAAAACTGTGAGTGAAAGTTTTCAAAAACGGACATCCTCTGCGGGATTCGAGCGCGTCGTGAACTGCCCAAAGGCGATGTGGCAACACGGGTCCCGTGTTATCTGATCCCAGAAACAGGTGTGCGGGGCAGGTAGAGCTCGGTATGAGGTGAAGCTGAAGGGTGCACGGTAGATAGAAGGTAGGGGGAGAGATTGATGGCTGAGCAGGTTGCCCGGGGACCTCTGGGGCGCCAACGCTAAAGAAACGGCGTGTTTGGTGGTGCGTGATGGACAGAGAGAACATGAGGTTCTGTAATATAGATCAGTAAAATATCATTAACTGTGACATTTATAAATGGATCTTATGTAACAAGAACATCAGCTTACACAAGAACCCTAGCTAAACATTAATGCTCTTTTATTGTTGTTATTAGGGAAAAAAAGAAAAACTAGACAGACTTCTGGCTGCTCATGAAAAAGCAGATGGATGAAAGACGCAGGACTGCTGTGGTGTTTTCACTCTGAAGTCATTTTCATACTGAATAACATTAAACTGCCCACGCGATAATTACAGCTCAACATCACCTCAGATCACATTGAACTTTGTTTAGTGGTGATTGACAAGCCCCTCTTGCCTTTAATTCCTGTTTTTTCCACTCAGTTGTCGAGATCTTCATGAAAAACTGTCACACACGTTCACTTTCTGAAACTGCGAGCGGTTATTTTCGAGTAAAAACTAAATGAGAAATGGTCATCGTCTCGGTTAATATCTGCAGGATGGAATAATTGAGGGAGTGATGACAGGTGCCGTTTGTTCTATTCTAAATCTCGTGAGAATGTAATGTGAGCTTTGATGACCTTACCACCTCCATTCCCCAAAGTGCCGCCGTGTAATGGTGAACCCAGCTCAGACCCTCTCCTCTCATGTGCTGTCACTACTTTGGTCCTGCTGATTTACTGTCTTCCGCTTGGCTTCAAATGACATTGTGCTCCTGGAATTGTATAGCATGTGGCTGTGGGGACTTTTTCACTTCAGGGTCCTTGGATGGAAAACACGTCAGATTGAAAACTCATAACAACTGCTGAGTTGATGCTAATTAAACTTTGTACACATGCTCAGAGCATGCAATCCCACTGACTAATACACAATCCAATCTAATAAAAATTCACTTCTCCTCCTGGTGCTGAACAATTTTTCAAAAGCTTTTTTCCAAGTATTGAATGCTTTTAAAAGCTTTTCTGTCCTCGTCCTGAAACAGAGGAGGGACGGCCTCAAATTTATGTAGAGAAATTGTCTCTACACACCTTTTGTAACACAGACAAAATCAAAGCACTGGTCAAAATTATTGAGCACCAGTCAAAGGCACCTTCCCTCTTTGCCTCCTGATGGATGTTTTTACTGGTCAACTTTCAGACTGAAGGCATTCACACAATGCATCTGGTCCCATGTTACAACAGGTGTTGATTTTTAGATCATTTCCAGGAGAGAGAAACATGATATATATTTTTTATGAGGCGGTGTGTGAATGCAAGTAAAGTGTATGGAAGTAATGTGCTTTCTGACGATTGTTGGGGAAAGGGTTGTGTTTGAGTGTATTTGTGTGTGTGTACTCATAATATAAGCGACTTCCTTATGTCCACCGACACTTTTATCTTTGTTCTGCCTGAAGGTGATCCAGATAGCATGTGGAGTTCAAACACTGCTGGCGGAAGAGACCCGACTGTGCTTCTATAGGAGGCTTGGTGGGGCTGTTTTGGATTGGTGGAGCTTTAAGGGAAAATATTTCACAGAGTCTTTTTTTTACATTTCAAGAGAGAACTTTTCATGATATAGTAGCAAAGAATTTGATTGAAAAATCCTTTTTAAAAACCCCTTTCCACCAAATATTCACAATAAAAAGAGGTTTTTTTGAACATGTTAAGCTGAATGGCTAAAACTGCTCCTGCTTTTCTTTGTTTTTAATATATCTTCTTTAGGCTTTAGATAAGGAGTAGAGAAGAGTGGAGAATTTTTGTTTTTGGGCGGTATTGATCTTTCCCCTGCTGCTGGCAGGCATACTTTAGCCTCTCAGTATTCTTTTTAGACTCAGGGTGTGTACGTATTTTTTGTTGAAGAGATGCAGCTAACTCAAAGAACGTTCTGCATCAGGATCTGGAAAGCTGTAAACGTATAAAACAAACAGAAATGCCACGAGAGGGTTCCAGCGTCCATCAACACCTACATTTGTCTCAGTCAGACAACGGGGGCTTCAGCAGCACAGCTGAGTGACCTTTCTTTCTTTTCACACAGGAAAAGGAAGTAAGCTGTGCTAACAAGCAGCAGTAAATTTAGCTTCTTCATTTATGGAGACTGCGCACTCCTCTTAGGCTAATACCTAAAAAGAGCAATATTTCTAAAACTGAGGCAGTGGCCTTCTTTTTAAACACTTTTCATCCAAGATTGCTTCACGTCGGGTAGCACACCCACTTTTAGAGAAAACGATACCTGTCATTTTCTCTCTACCTGCCGTGAGTGAAGATGCAAACAATTGTGCTGGTTGACTGACATGCAAAGCATGGCCTTTTTCATGCAAAGCTGGCTGGCAGCCACATAGTGCGCGGGCTGGCAGAGAGAAATGTCAGTGTGCAGAAAAGGTCACCGGGTTTTGTGCGCCACACGGCTTCAGATCAGCACCCCGCATTTAAAAAGTCAAGGGTTTTTTAGTAGTGCGGACATATGTTGGTTCCCTCTGGAGGAGCTTTTGACCATCGCTGTGCATACTTGTGTGTTTTAAAAGCGTCGTCCTGTTGGCTTGATGGATGAGCTTGTTCTGCTCTGGCCTCTGCTTCCTGTTGTAATTTCCAAATCGTCTGTCATTGTGTGTGCGCGCGCGCATACTTGTCAAAGTACAAAAGGCTGATGGATATCACCATGTGTTTCCTGTTTGCCCCAGGTGTGTATGTGCATGCATGTTGTCGCTCTTGTATCCTCATATCCAGCCGGTGGGTCTGTGGCCCGTACTGGAGCGGCAGTGGGACATGCAGGGACCTGCTTTGTACTGAGGTGGGATATTTCTGGACTGCTGCTTCACTTCAAGAAAAGCTCCTGAAGGAACCACCTCCTTTTTAAAAAAAATTATCTCAACATCTGAGTGGCTTGACTGTCTGGTTTGCACCATGCTGCTGCCTCTCTATTCATATTCTGTGTGTGTGTTTGTATATGCCGTGTTTATAGTAGATTATTCAGTGTTTCACATTCAAAACCTGCAGGAAAATGGCTCCATGCAAACTTGAGATTTGAGGATGTAGGATGCTCTAGAAGTGACAAAAGGAGACTGTCCTTTGTCCATACTTTTTCCTATTAAAAAGTGACCCAATGTCCTTACTTAAACGTGCAAAGAAAAACCTTTACCTAATCTCTCCCAGGTAGAGACTTGGCTGTGTGCTCAGAAAGGGAATCTAATAAATCGCTAGAATAAAATTGGCAGAGCATTGTGCATCCCCAAATTACCTTTTGGACAGGAAGACAGCCGTCCTAATCCTTTCCTAAAGTTTTTTTTTGTCCCCCCCCAACCCAAACACACAGTGACACTCCTGTATTTTCTTTTTAAAAAAACATCAAGAGATCATTATTTTTGTTTTACTTTGAGCTGGACTTTTACATATTACACGTGTCTGGTTTAAAGATTGTAGTGGACTAGAATAGAATACAGATGACACACACACGTACACTTAATGGATGTATTTCAGATGAAATGGTAGCATGTAATCTTATTTTAACTGACGCACAATATGTCACGACACATTCTGTGCATTTGATGATACGGATGGTTCACTGTTTTTGTTCAGCAGGGAAAGACATTCCAGGACACATACCTATGGGCCGTTATTTTCATAGTTGTGTCTGCGTGTGCCTTTGGATTAGAGATCAGCTGTAAAAACCCATCCTACCTAATTGTAAGGTTTGGAATGAAGCGAGAAAGTCTTTCCCAGTGCATAACATTCAGTATAAGTGGTAAGACTTGTGTTTACTTTAATTTGCTGCCAAAGACTAGCTTTGATAACTACCTGGTTGAACTACGCTGGGTAGATTTCCTGTAATGCAGAAGAGGAGCAGTCGTTGTTAAATCCACTTAAATGGTTTGCTTTCATTGTGTTGGAATGCTCTAGCTGGAAATGATGCTTGCATGTCTTGTCTTTCTGTGTGGTTTCCTCCATATAGCTGCTGTTGCATGTCAGATGAGTCGAAGAATGACGATGTTGGTCTGTCATTTTGTTCTGCTATTGTCCTGAAACACCTATTGCACGGAGCACAAAAGGATTTTGTACAGACATCCATGGTCTCCAAGGAATGAGTTTTAAACCTCCCACTAAAGCATCCCGTTTTGGGTTGAATTAGTGGACCAGAGGGAAATGTTATCAAGTGGTTGTTTTTAATTTCAAAAGCTGAGCTGGTAGTCTTGTGGACCACCATTTATCTGTCCTCTCATAGTAGGTGCATTATTCAGTGTCCCTGCTCTCTGCAGGTTGTGGCAGAGTAAAGGCTAAAAGGTTGGAGGTCAGTAGCAGGTGGGGACTGAAATACTTCTGCTGAAAATGCAGCAGGGTAATTCCAGATTGTATGAGGGGAAATCTAATGGAGGTTTCTAAATATGGAAAAGGAGCTCTGCTAACATAACGTATTTATTGACTGTAGAGTAAATCCATGAAGGGTCTATTAAACATTATCAGGGCCTGAATTTGATGTCTTGTGTATTTTGTTGAGTGCTCCTTGACTCAGTGTGGAGAGCTCACAGATTGTGATAAGACAGCACGTCCACCTCTCAAAGAGCACTTTGTCCGTTAACATGTGGTCATGTGTGCACCTTTTTCACCATGTTGGTAGAACCAAAACGATCATTTACGCAGCTTCTTTGGTTGTACGGAAAGTATTTAAATGTTAACATTTAATGTTATTTATTCATTTTTTTTTTCTTTTCATCAGAATTAATTTACAAATATTTATAAAGGTGAAA